AGGATTGGGCTGGCCACTCCATAATGTCAATCTTGTTGGTCTGGAATCAAGATGTTGCACGTTTACTGGTGTGTTTGGGGTCGTTTTCTTGTTGGAACACCCATTTCAGTGGCATTTCCTCTTCAGCATAAGGCAGCATAACCTCTTCAAGTATTCTGATGTATTCAAACTGATCCATGATCCCTGGTATGCGATAAATAGGCCCAACACCGTAGTATGAGAAACATCCTCATATCATGATGCTTGCACAACCATGCTTCACTGTCTTCACAGTGTACTGTGGCTTGAATTTAGTGTCTGGGGGCCGTCTGACAAACTGCCTCCGGCCACTAGACCCAAAAAGAACAATCTTACTTTCATCAGTCCACAAAATGTTGCGCCATTTCTCTTTAGGCCGGTCAATGTGCTCTTTGGCAAATTGTAACCTCTTCAGCACATGTCTTTTTTTCAACAGTGGGACTTTGCGGGGGCTTCTTGCAGATAGCTTGGCTTCACATAGGCGTCTTCTAATTGTAACAGTACTCACAGGTAACTTTAGACCTTCTTTGATCTTCCTGGAGCTGATTGTTGGCTGAGTCCTTGCCATTTTGGCTATTCTTCTATCCATTCAAATGGTAGTTTTTTGCTTTCTTCCACGTCTTTCAGGTTTTGGTTGCCATTTTAAAGCATTTGCGATTATTTTAGCTGAGCAGCCTATCATTTCCTGCACTTCTTTATATGTTTTCCCCTCTCCAATCAACTTTTTAAACAAGGTACGCTGTTCTTCTGAACAATATCTGGAATGACCCATTTTCCTCAGAATTTCAGAGAGAAATGCACTGTAACCAGCATGTACAACATTTGCTGCCTTCCTTCCTTAAATAAGGGCAATAATTGCCACCTGTTTTTCAAAGAATGACTGACCTCACTAATAGAATTCCACACTGCTATTATTTTGAACATGCCCCTTTCAATTAGTGATTCAATTACACAGAATCAGCAGCATGCATGTCATGACTGTTGGGTCTGTTGGATTTCTTTTACTCTACTACACCTTCTAGTAAATTATTTGCCATGTAGAAATACAATTTCTACCAAAAACAGTGATTGATCAGGTTAGTGATGTCTCACTGCTATTATTTTGAACACAACTGTATATATATATATTTATATCACATGTAGATTTAATTTTTTAACAAAAGCGTTTTTTCCTTTTACTGTGCCCTTGTCTAAAACTATCACAAATGACAAATGTGGAATAGATCTGAAGGTTTATTTTGAAAGGTTGAGATTTTGGAAAAAGTACATACAGTGACAGGATACTGAATAGTCCACTGTGCAAACTGCGGTCACATACAATCTTCCTGTCATTTACTATTACTATCATTATATTGACATTTATGCGCTACTTTTTTATGACCCATGAAACGTATGAAATAGGATTTGTGTGTTGAAAAAGTAATAACAGCAGTATATTACTACTACTACTGTCTGTAATTTGATTAAACTAGACCAGTACATAATGTGAGATAATATTTATGGCATGCTAACATGCTTTGGCTGTATATGATGCCTGGCTTACCTGCAGTAAAGGACATAGACAGCTGTTACAGTATAAGTGTGTAGCACCTGAAATGTCATACATTCACTTTCTGCATTCCTCCTCCTCCACTTAGCTCCCGATAATATGTTGCTATAGAAGTTTAAGTAACAAACACTACAGTTTAAAGCTGATCATATACATTACTATTTGTTAGACCTATCAACAACTGAGGGGATAAATATCCCTTCTCTATAGTAATAAAAAGTACACGTATGTTGCCAAGAGAAGGGTCTGCATAAAGTATGCAAGCTTTCCTGTCATGGTCATGACATTTATAATTAGGTTATGAATGGCACCTGAACACGTTGATCTGCGAAATGACATTTTAACAGCTCGTTTTGAAATTGCAGGTAGAGTTGAAACGCTTCTGCCTGCGATTCATAACGCTTATATGTAAACGGAGCCTTAACATGGGAATACACAATTAAAAAATCGACTGATCGGTCATCCGACGACCGAGAGGCATTCGTTCGTTGGCCGAAATCGTGGGCCACATTAACCAATCTAAAAAAATCGTTCCTTGGGCAATACGTAGTGTTGACGTCTTCCGTACAAGTGATGCACTGTGCATGTGACCTTGTAGGCACGCTCTTCCGGCCAGAACGAGCGATATACACAACAATTAACAGCAATGAGTATAATATAGTTTATTACATTAACTATATACATAAATAGTGATACATAAAAATATAATATGCAGAATTCTGGTTTCATTATCTCATTAGGCCAATCTACTTTTAACATTTGGATTCTTTGTTCGTGTTTACAAAGATTCCTTGGACATAGACATCCGGGTCATCTTCTGTTGCTTCTCATGAGTGATAGCGCTTAATAGATTTTTTTTGCATGATGTCATACCACCGCATAGAAAATTGGTCGTTCTTATGCGAAACGACAACATTTTTCACTGTTGTTCAACCAGATTTTTTCGTTCACAATATCGTTATCGGTTAAAACATCCTGCTCATCAACGAAGAGAAAATCGTTCGATCAGTGGTTCCGCAAAATGTTTCGTATAATTTTCTTATCATGTGTATGGGGCATTAGTGTCCATATATACTACTGTTATTGTCATCAAAGCAAGGCCGGCCTCACACCTATGCAGTGCATTAACACACACTACAAGCTAAAACTGGAGCATGCAAAATCTGGTGCAGCCCTGCATAGAAACCAATCAGCTTCCAGTTTTTTTTTTTTTTTTGCCAAAGCCTAATTGAACAAGCTAAAATTAGAAGCTGATTGGCTATTATGCAGAGCTGCACCAGATTCTGCACTTTCCAGCTTTAGTAAGTTAACAATACAGTTTAATATAATTTTCCTTAAAATGGAACTAAACTTGTAGAAAGCTGCGAGCAGCTTTTTATTGCAGAAGAGGCATGCTATGTCTCTTCTGAAATAATGATAATTTACCTGCCTGCTTGCAGTCTTCTACCAAATGTACATTGACCTGTGCGTGTGCAATTTAGCATACTTCGGTTGTGCCAGAATCACTGACTCCCATGCGCATGTGTGGCCTGACATCATCCCCCATCAGCCAATGAAGAGGCTGAAAAACCTGGCACCAGGGGAGAGGATGACAGCGGCCAGTGAAGGATGTCACTGCCTGCTTCGTTGGAAGGTCTAGGGCGGGTGTCGGCAACCCGCGGCTCCGGAGCTGCATGCGGCTCTTTTTCACCTTTCCTGCGGCTCCGGAGCACACTGCCCACCAGGTGACAGGCAATAGGGTCGGCAAGCCGCGGCTCTTTTAATGCAGATCTTCTGTGTGCCGGGCGCCCGCTGGCAAACATTGGCTGTCAGGATGTAGGCGGGGCAGCCCGGATGTAGGCGGGGCAGCGTGACGAACTCCTCTCCTCTCACAGTCCGCCCTGAAGACCAGAACGGCGCGGGAACCCAGCGAGAGGAACGCGCGGAGCAAAGGTAAGTGAATTCAAACAAATGGGGAATGAATTATATGGGGAATGAATTACTATAGGGGGGATGAATTACTATAGGGGGGATGAATTACTATGGGGGATGAATTACTACGGGGGTGAATTACTATAGGGGGGATGAATTACTATGGGGGATGAATTACTATATGGGGGATGAATTACTACTATATGGGGGATGAATGAATTACTATAGGGGGGATGAATTACTATATGGGGGATGAATTACTATAGGGGGGATGAATTACTATGGGGGATGAATTACTACGGGGGATGAATTACTATAGGGGGGATGAATTACTATAGGGGGGATGAATTACTATGGGGGATGAATTACTACGGGGGATGAATTACTATAGGGGGGATGAATTACTATAGGGGGGATGAATTACTATATGGGGGATGAATTGCTATAGGGGGGATGAATTACTATGGGGGATGAATTACTATATGAGGGATGAATTACTATATGGGGGATGAATTACTATGGGGGATGAATTACTATAGGGGGGATGAATTACTATATGGGGGATGAATTACTATAGGGGGGATGAATTACTATATGGGGGATGAATTACTATATGGGGGATGAATTACTATAGGGGGGATGAATTACTATAGGGGGGATGAATTACTATGGGGGATGAATTACTACGGGGGATGAATTACTATAGGGGGGATGAATTACTATAGGGGGGATGAATTACTATGGGGGATGAATTACTATATGGGGGATGAATTACTATAGGGGGGATGAATTACTATGGGGGATGAATTACTATATGAGGGATGAATTACTATATGGGGGATGAATTACTATGGGGGATGAATTACTATGGGGGATGAATTACTATATGGGGGATGAATTACTATATGGGGGATGTATTTTCAGTTTTAAAAATGTTTCTCTCAAAATATATTTCAATCGTGGTTTTGGCGAGATTTGGCTCAGTCGAAAAAAAGGTTGCCCACCACTGACCTAAGGCTATGATTGTGATTATGACGATACACTGTGGCCCTGATTAACCCTTTGCTTACTGGGCCCTTAAACCCCTTTCATGACCAGAGTGTTTTTTGCAATATATGCAGTGTCGGATTTGTTTTAAATGTTGCAATGGTTTTGCGGCTCCCAGTCTTTTTTTCCCTCTCAGAAACGGGTCCAAGTGGCTCTTTATGTCTTAAAGGTTGCAGACCCCTGGTCTAGGGGCATGTAAAAAGGAATTTCTTTGATAAGCAGAAAAAATGCTATATTGTGTTGAAAATAACTATTTACTTCCTTTACACTAATGAATCATTTGGAGCTTTGTTTTATTTCAGACACTGTTTCTGTTCTGTTAATCCATGGTTTATCAGGGTGCAATATTTTATAGGATTAAACTATTTAAATTCTATATTGAAGTCCTGAATATTTTGGGTTTGCTTTGAAAAAAAAATGTGATTTTTAGCATCTTGTTTATATAACACTTAGGTTTGCTTCTTTCTATATCTAGCTCAGCAATCACGTGTCGCCTGAAAAGAATCCAACACTACGTGAACTGCAGGCTATTCTTGAACAGGAAAGGAGACTTCACCAAGAGGAGCATGAAAAGGTGACAGACAGGCTCATCCAGGTATTATGTCTCCTTAATCCATCACCTTTTACAGGGCCAGACAGTCTTGACTGTTTAAAGAAAGACAACCTAATGCATGGCAGACGTCTAAGAATTCCTCCAGTTTAGTTTCTCTTGACATTTAACAGTTGTGCATCATTAGTAATTGTCTGACCTCCAAATGGAACATTAATTCCTAGTTAAAAGAGTTGTGTATTTTCAAAGTTAAAGCGGTACAAAGAAAAGAATGGAAATCCGACAGAGGTTTTCAGGTACATCTAAACTCTTAAATGGATGGCATTTTCATATGCTAAAGCATGGTGTACCTTAAACAATTGTCATTTGTAAAAAGAATGAAATGCTTATAACAAAGCTGCAGATATTCTCCAGAATCTTTGCAGCCACTTCCTGCCTATATACATAGAAATTACATAATAATCTAAATGTGCTAAATATATATATATATATATATATACTTGATATACCGTATTTTTCGCACCATAAGATGCACTTTTTTCCCCCCCAAAAAAGGGGGGGAAAATGTCAGTGCGTCTTATGGAGCGGCCGGTCCGGTATTTCCACCGCCGCCATGTCAGAATACCGGGCCGGCCGCTCAGCTCTACAGCGGGACCTTATAGAGATGACTGCTGACCTTTGGGGAGGGGGGGGAGCGGGTACCTGAATTTGACAGATACCCGCTCCCACTTCCGTGGAGTTGTTCTTTCATCTTACCCGTTCCTCTATCCAGCGGCGCGGTCTTCCCGGCTTCTGTAGTGTGGGCATGACAGCCGAGTGCCAAGTGCGCATGCGCAGGAAGCGGTGCTTTTTGTGAATGGTAAGGCGGCACCTGGGACACATGACAGATCCCAGAAGCCGCCGGACCAATCACAAAGCGCAAGTGCTTCTCGCTCATGCGCACTGGGCACCCGGCTGTCATGCCGAGCGCCATTACAGAAGCCGGGAAGACAGCGCGCGGCTGGATAGAGGAACAGTTAAGATCAAAGAACAACTCTGCGGAAGTGGGAGCGGGTACCTGTCAAATTCAGGTACCCGCTCCCCCTCCTCCCCAAAGGTCAGCAGTCATCCCCTGTACTATCCACAGTCTCTGGTCATCCCTGTGCTGTCCGCAGTCTCTGGTCATCCCTGTGCTGTCCGCAGTCTCTGGTCACCCCTGTACTGTGTCCGCAGTCTCTGGTCATCCCTGTACTGTGTCCGCAGTCTCTGGTCATCCCTGTACTGTGTCCGCAGTCTCTGGTCATCTCCTGCACTGTGTCCGCAGTCTCTGGTCATCCCCTGCACTGTGTCCGCAGTCTCTGGTCATCCCCTGCACTGTGTCCGCAGTCTCTGGTCATCTCCTGCACTGTGTCCGCAGACTCTGGTCATCTCCTGCACTGTGTCCGCAGTCTCTGGTCATCTCCTGTACTGTGTCCGCAGTCTCTGGTCATCTCCTGTACTGTGTCCGCAGTCTCTGGTCATCTCCTGTACTGTGGCCGCAGTCTCTGGTCATCTCCTGTACTGTGTCCGCAGTCTCTGGTCATCTCCTGTACTGTGGCCGCAGTCTCTGGTCATCTCCTGTACTGTGTCCGCAGTCTCTGGTCATCTCCTGAACTGTGTCCGCAGTCTCTGGTCATCTCCTGTACTGTGTCCTGCAGTCTCTGGTCATCTCCTGTACTATGTCTGCAGTCCATTAGTTCAGAATTTTTTTTTCCTGTTTTCTGCCTCTAAAACCTAGGTGCGTCTTATGGTCAGGTGCGTCTTATGGAGCGAAAAATACGGTAGATAATATTTGTTTTCTTAGGACATATAAGGGTTGATTTACTAAAACTGGAGAGTGCAAAATCTGGTACAGCTGTGCATAGTAACCACTCAGCTTCCAGGTTTTTATTGCCAAAGTTTAATTGAACAAGCTGAAGACAGAAGCTGATTGGCTCCCATGCACAGCTGCACCAGATATTGCACTCTCCAGTTTTAGTAAATCTACCCTGTAGCATGCTCCAGCGGCAGCTTTACATCATTCACATTTAAAGTGGGCTTCATGATGGTTACAACATTGGAACAAGCATGCACAATGTACATTAGAACTCCCCTTGTACTATCCATTGAGAGCTTGTACTAATGCTGTACTATGTTTGTTCTCTTTCATTCCCATTGCCAGTGCAGAGCTGGCCACATGCTAGTAGATTGGAAGACAAACGATTTTATGAATATTCAAAGAATATGCTATGCTCATCAGTACTTGGGGAGCACAGTGGCTAAATGGTTAGCACTTCCGCCTGGCAGTACTAGGGTCGTTGGTTTGAATCCCAACCACGGCACCACCTGCCTGGAGTTTGCATGTCATTTGTAATACATACACATACTAGGGCCAATTTAGACAGGATCCAATTCACCTACCAGCATGTCTTTGGAGTGTGGGAAGAAACCGGAGTACCCGGAGGAAACCCACATAGGCACAGGGAGATTGTTCACACTTGACTATATTTCTATCTCTTAAAAAATGCTCCTATAGCATTAGTATGGGTATTAGACAGGCGTTAATGTGCTTTAGTACGGGCATTAGACAAGCGTTAATGAGCTTTAGTACGGGCATTAGACAAGCGTTAATGAGCTTTAGTACGGGCATTAGATAAGTGTTAATGAGCTTTAGTAAGGGCATTAGACAAGCGTTAATGAATGAGCTTTAGAAAGGGCATTAGACAAGCGTTAATGAGCTTTAGAAATGGGCATTAGACAAGCGTTAATGAGCTTTAGCATGGGCATTAGACAAGCGTTAATGAGCTTTAGTAAGGGCATTAGACAAGCGTTAATGAGCTTTAGAAAGGGGCAAGCGTTAATGAGCTTTAGAAACACAAGCGTTAATGAATGAGCTTCAGTTAATGGCTTTTAGTAAGGGACAAGCGTTAATGAATGAGCTTTAGCAAGGGCATTAGACAAGCGTTAATGAGCTTTAGTATGGGCGTTGGACTGGCGTTTTACAAGCATTTTAAACACTCACCAAATGCTCTATGTGCAGCTTTGATGCGTTTTATAAGTGTTGTACAAATGTTTAAACCACACCACAAATGCCTATAATAAATTGTAATGGTATTAATGCTCCGCAACCACACTGCAAACGCCCCACAAATGCCTGCCAGCATGTTTGTGGAGTATCACCAAAGACTTGAATGGGAGGCGTTGAAAGGCTTCAAACTCCTCCAGACTTGACATGAGGCTTCAATTTTGAATAATGTGAATAGCACTGTGTGTTATCCATAGTACCATTTGCATAGGCGTTTGAAGGGTGTTAAAATTGCCCCTCAAACGTCTGCTTTCAATGCCAGTGTGAACAAGGCCTTAGTCTATCATTCCGGTATGTCTGACTGAGAGTGCACTGTATAGGTGGCTTAAAATTTTATCAGCAGTATTAAACAGGGTGGATTGCAGTTTAGTGCAGATATGAATCTACAAATCTGTATAAGTAATATGGTTACAAGTACAGTTGCTGAGTGGAAATACGATTTAATTTCCTATTATTTTATTCAGTGGTGCTGCAGAAGCTACTCTCTGCCACAGGTGGTTCGGGTGTGTGCACACGCACATGCTGCAACTGCTGGCTGTCAGATACAAATAGGGTCCAGTGCAAGCTGGGTATACACATCTTTTTTTGTTTTTTTTTCATTCAACCAGCGAGTTGAATGAAAAAACTAGTGATCCCCACATCAGCACAATGATGTGTTGCGGGGATCTTTCCCGCTGAGCTATTGTATTCTGACAGCGGGGACCGTACGACAGACAGTGGTGCACATGTACCAAAAGTTGGCTGGTTCCAACTTTGACCTTATAATAACCCTTTTGCTATCAGACCAATTTTTTTAACTTTTCACACTCCAAATGCACATTTTTCATGTCAACACAACAACCTAAAACTCCCAAAACAAATTGCATTTCCTGAAAGTAGAGGATCTACAGTATAGAATAATTGTGCATGCTAGTGATGCTTGGTAAGAAAATGTTTATTCATCACCAGGATAACTACTTTTACTGCAAATGCCCTGCAGTAGCGCACATAGGAGCCTCACAAAGTGACTGTCATAAAGGTCACATCAATTTTTTTACAGTCTTGCTATCATGGTAGACCTTGGGGTGATCACCCTATTTGCTAATGATTCTGAATGCAGAATGTCTCAGTATTTTCTTCTCAGTACCTCTCACTGTGTCCCATTAATTATGAAAATCTCTTATCAGTCTGACTTTTTGATACATGACTTGGCAGATTGGTTTTTGGGTGTCTAATGCTTTGATAATACATATTTTTTAAATGTCATAAACCTTGAAATATTTAGAGTGCTCTTTTAAAATTTGCAAGAACTTTGACTCCTCAAAACAGTTTATGTAATACGAGAAAACCGACTCTCTGGAACATTTTCCTTTAGGCTAGGTTCACATAGATGCGCTGTGATTTTCCTGCTGGATTCAGTGCAATTTCAAGGCGTAGTTGTTCAGCGATTTCAGGTGCGATTCTGATGCAATTTGGCAGCATTCTCAGTCAGTCTCTTTCTCTGGTATTGATTTACTAAAAGTGGAAAGTGCAAAATTTGGTGCAGCTGTGCATGGTAGCCAATCAGCTTCTAACTTCAGCTTGTTCAAGTAAGCTTTGACAAAAAAAAAACTGGAAGCTGATTGGTTTCTTTGTACAGCTGCACCATATTTTGCACTCTCCTGTTTTAGTAAATCAAGCCCTCTGTCTCTCTCCTGACATGAACTAGGGATGGGAGATAAGGAAAAGGAAAGCAAAGAGAAAACTTTCTGCAATCATGTTATTTTAGGACAGATAAGTGATTTCCATTCAAGTCTATGTAGCTACAAATTGCACCGCACTGCACTAAACTTGCACAAGAACCTTTTTAAAATCGCATCAGAATCGAACTGCATATAAATGAAAGGCCTCCATAGAAACTTATGTTATTTCACATAACATGCAATTCCATGTGTTCTGGAACACATCAGAATTTGCATCAGTTTGAATCAGGGCTAAAGCAGTACTAAACCCAAAAGCAAAAATGTATATATTGCAGTTTACCGATCCTTAGATATGGTGGTTGCATTCCTTTTCTTTTTTTTTTAACATAGGCTGGCCGTAGATTACTTTTTTTTTTTTTTTTTTTCAGTCCACAGCCAACCTGAGCTTTTACCAGTGGCTTTATGCTACTAAGTACATGACTTGGCAGACACACTTCACAAAATTTTTAGGATGGGTGTTCTCTCCATCCATATGCACAAGATCCTTTTACCAATTGGGTCCTTAGCCTGAGAAAGTCATCGCTGGAGCTTTCCCACAGATTAGAATACCTGGGCCTGAGGTCAGACATGGCCCTGTCCAGGATCTTTCTACCTTGGGATAAGTTCTGTCCTTCAACTCCCATGCCCAGGCCTTTGGGCCCAGAAAAATCGCTAATTACTCTAATTGCATGGAAAAATATTAATATTCTAAAATGTTCACCCTTTTAAATAAAAACCTATAAAATAAATATTCAAATCTGCTAAGAAATTAAAGTGCATCTCCACAATGAAAAAATGTCCAAGGCTTGTATGGAGAAAAAGGTTGCAGGCTTGAAATGGTTAACACATACTATGCTGCCAGTTGCCAAGTTCTGTGAACTTGTAAAGGTCAGAGCCTTCTACTACAGATTGGGATAGGAAATGGTATATTGAAGGAATCAGACAGTGATGAGGAGCTCTAAGTACTGTGCAGATTAGCAGTAATTATCTAGTTAAGTACTTCCCAGATGAAGAGATTAGGTAATTTCTATGCAAATGATCACTTGTTACCAGCTCATGATAGATTTTGGTGACGCATGCTGGGCTCCAGTACTGAGCTGTATGAAAAATCTGTATTTGGCATGAAATATTTATCAACTGCTGTAGGTGTTGTTGACCTATTTTTGTGTATTTTTTCATGTTCACATTTAAATAATACGTAAGTGAAAACATAGTTGGAATCAACACCCATATTGCTGTAATGACATTATTTAAATAACATAATCCAGCCTACTCATTCAGCAAAAAGGACCTCAGTCTTACCGTACTACCTTGTGTGTTTCCCAGGAGGCACCAATAAAATCAGATGAATGAAACCAGGCAAAGTACTTGGATCAGCGGCCCATTCAGCCAGCCTACATATGCTTTTTTTAATGACATTTGGCCAAGCATGCAGCCTTTAGAAGCATGACACTGATCTGCAGGGAAGCCCTATACAGACAACATGCTAGACTGCAATATTAGCCCATTCTTAGATCACAATTATATTCCATGATATTCCATATCCAATACTTAATGGTATGCAAATAAAACAGTGCAGTGCTTTTGGGGGGTTGTTATGCTTTCCGACCATAAAGTGATTACTGCTCCTTATTGCCATTTAGACACAAAAAGAAAGGTGTCAAACTGACCAGATCTAGACCACAGATAATGGAACGAAAATTATATAATGATGTTAGACACGGCTAAGTGATCATGCTGAGCATATTTTTTAAATGTAACATAATATCCAGTCTGTTTCTGTGTGCAAGTCTAAGGTATTTTTATAACAATGTAAATGCATTTTTTTGTAAAGTGACATTTTGTGAATTGATCCAATTACCATATTTTTCGCTCAATAAGACGCACCTAGGTTTTAGAGAAGGAAAACAAGAAAAAAAAATATTCTAAACCAAAGGACTGTAGACATAGTACAGGAAATGACCAGAGACTGCAGATGTATTACAGGAGATGACCGGAGACTGCAGACACAGTACAGGAGATGACCAGAGACTGCGGACACAGTACAGGAGATGACCAGAGACTGCGGGCACAGTACAGGAGATGACCAGAGACTGCGGACACAGTACAGGAGATGACCAGAGACTGCGGGCACAGTACAGGAGATGACCAGAGACTGCGGCACAGTACAGGAGATGACCAGAGACTGCGGACACAGTACAGGAGATGACCAGAGACTGCGGGCACAGTACAGGAGATGACCAGAGACTGCGGACACAGTACAGGAGATGACCGGAGACTGCGGACACAGTACAGGAGATGACCGGAGACTGCGGACATAGTACAGGAGATGACCAGAGACTGCGGACTTCCTCTGCGATCACCTCTCTCCCCGTAGTCTTCTAGGACATGTGACAGGTCCCAGAAGACTATGGGGCATTCACAAACATCAGTACTTCTCCTGCATGTGCAGTGGGCACCCGGCTGTGAAGCCGCAAGCAGTCACAGCAGGGTGCTCACACTAAAGATGATGAGGTGATGAGGACACCTCTGGACCAAGGAGCAGGTTCTGCTGCACAGAAGAGATGAGCGGCCGGCCCGGTAGTCTAACATGGCAGCGACGGGGGGAATACTGGGCCGGCCACTCCATATTCGCTCCATAAGACGAACAGACATAAAAGTGCATCTTATGGAGCGAAAAATATGTTATATATTAACTGTGTAGTCATAGGTCGTGTTTCCTGTCACCTGGGTTTGATGTTACTTAAGGACAAATGCATACCAATAGGTTTATAACATACAGTATACTTATTCTGGAAAGCACTTCCTGATACTCATTACAGCTTATTGATCACATATTCATTAAGGTTAAGGGGATGAAATGATATTATATGGTATGTAATGATTATTCATACTCATGTAATCAAATGTTTCTTTTAACACAGCTGGAGGAGGAACATTTAAAAAACATTCGGAGGAAAGACTTGGAGGTTCAGAGTCTCACATTACAGAATAAACTGGAGGAGAAAACATGGGGCCAAGAAAAAAGTCTTTTAGAGCAAGAAATAAGAAACTTCAAGCGGAATGTCTTTGTTTTCTATGTGAAACTAAAATGGCTTCTAGCACATTGGCGCCAGTGCAAACGGGTGGAGGAAGAAGTGGGCGATGAATTGCTTCAGGTAATCGTTTTCATTGGTAAGATAATACTGGGCTGTATAAATTGTGTGTCTATCTATCTATCTATCTATCTATCTATCTATCTATCTATCTATCTATATCTATCTATCTATCTATCTATATACAGTGGATATAAACAATCTACACACCCCTGTTAAAATGTCAGGTTTCTGTGATGTAAAAAAATGAGACAAAGATAAATAATTTCAGAACTTTTACCACCTTTTAATGTGACCTATAAAGTGTACAACTCAATTGAAAAACAAACTGAAATCTTTTAGGGGGGGGGGGGAGTAAACATAAAAAACTAAAATAATGTGGTTGCATAAGTGTGCACACCCTCTTATAACTGGGAATGTAGCTGTATTCAGAATTAAGCAATCACATTCAAAATCATGTTAAATGGGAGTCAGTACACACCTGCCATCATTTAAAGTGCCTCTGATTAACCCCAAATAAAGTTCAGCTGTTCTAGTAGGTCTTTCCTGACATTTGCTTGATCACGTCCTACAGCAAAGGCCATTGTCGGCAGAGAGCTTCCAAAAGATCAGAGAGATTTCATTGTTAAAAAGTATCATTCAGGAGAAGGGTACAAAAGAATTTCCAAGGCAATAGATATACCATGGAACACAGTGAAGACAGTCATTATCAAGTGGAGAAAATGTGGCACAACAGTGATATTACCAAGAACTGGACGTCCCTCCAAAATTGATGAAAATATAAGAAGAAAACTGGTCTGGGAGGCTGCCAAGAGGCCTACAGCAACATTAAAGGAGCTTCAGGAATATCTGGCAAGTACTGGCTGTGTAGTACATGTGACAACAATTTCCCGTATTCTTCGTATGTCTGGGCTATGGGGTAGAGTGGCAACATCCAAGCCCAGCTAAATTTTGCAAAAACACATCTGAAGTCTCCCAAAAGCATGTGGGAAAATGGGTTATGTTCTGAAGAAACCAAGGTTGAACGTTTTGTAATAATTCCAAAAGATATGTTTGGTACAAAAACAAAACACTGCACATCACCAAAAGAACACCATACCCACAGTGGAGCATGTTGGTGGCAGCATCATGCTTTGGGGCTGTTTTTCTTCAGCTGGAACTGGGGCCTTAGTCAAAGTAGAGGGAATTATGAACAGTTCCAAATTCCATTCAATATTGGCACAAAACCTTCAGGCTTCTGCTAGAAAGCTGAACATGAAGAGGAACTTCAACTTTCAGCATGACAACGACCCAAAGCATACATCCAAATCAACAAAGGAATGGCTTCACCAGAAGAAGATTAAAGTTTTTGAATGGCCTAGCCAAAGCCCAGACCTGGATCTGATCGAAAATATGTGGGGTGATCTGAAGAGGGCTATGCACAGGAGATGCCCTCGCAATCTGACAGATTTAGAGTATTTTTGCAAGGAAGAGTGGGCAAATATTGCCAAGTCACGATGTGCCATGCTGATAGACTCATACCTAAATAGACTGAGTGCTGTAATAAAATCAAAAGGTGCTTCAACAAAGTATTAGTTTAAGGGTGTGCACACTTATGCAACCATATTATGTTAGTTTTATATTTTTACTTCCCTCCACCTAAAAGATTTCAGTTTGTTGTACAGTTTATAGGTTACATTAAAGGTTGAAAAAGTTCTGAAATGATTTATCTTTGTCTCAATTTTTACATCACAGAAACCTGACATTTTAACAGGGTTGTGTAGACTTTTATATCATATATATATTTATTACTGTGAAAATGTTTGTTTTAGACATTTGTGAAAAAATGCTATAAGCCCTCATTTACACTGGTGTACTGACCTGTACGCCCATGTTAAAGTCTGTCTTCATCTGCCTGGGATGCACAGGTGTTCCATGCATCGATGAGAGGCCACTGGCTGCACGTACCTCCATGCGCATCCTTGAGTGTACTTTCATCTAGATCCGATGCACGGATCAGAACACAGTCTGTCTACATCCAGTTCAGTGCTTCGGACCTGCACGGATGTGTACTTGGGGATGTGCATGCATCCGAAAGTGAAGACAGTCCTTCACATGGGCGTATGGATCGCTAAGCCCATGTAATTAGGGACTAAAGTGAGAATGCTTTAAAATTATGAAATTAATATATGTTTATTAACAACTTGTAAAGTGAATAAACAGAAAAAAACAATCAATTATTAAATTTGGTGTCTCCTCCTTTGCATTTAGAACTACATTATTTTTACATTTTTGCAACTACACTTGCATACAGGTAAGGATTTTGCAAACAAACAGGTTTTAATGATCAGTAAGAAAACGTTAATTCTAACAGAATTAGCTGTGGAATGAAGCAGGGTGAGGAAAAGCCATTCTCTACTAACACATTAAGGTAGCTGAAGATAGCTCAGTGTAAAAAAAACTTACATAAAGACAAGACTGAGCACAGCAACAAAGGCCCAGAATGCTCATCCTGCATCAACGAGGTCTCTCTAAGGCAGAAATTGTAGGGAATACAGGTGTTTGCAGATGTGCTCTCCAAGCTTTTTTACTGTAGTGCAAGGAAACAGGCAATGTTGAGGACTAAAATCGCAGTGGTTGGCCAAGAAAACTTAGTGTAGAAGATAAAAAACACTTCATGCTGAATTACTTTCACAATCTGAAGATGTCCAGTGGCACCATCAGCTCACACATAGCAGAAACCAATGGGACCCTGGTACAGCCATCTAAGGTCTGAAGAAGTCTGGTCAAAAATGATCTTCCTCTTGCAGCTAAAATCCATTCCTCCAATGTGGAAACAAGGCCAAGCGACTTTCTTATACGCAATTACACAAAAAACAGTGTGCAGAAAAATGGCAGCAGGTGCTCTGGACTGATGAGTCCACATTTAAAATGTTTGTTTGCAACAGAAGTCAGTTTGTTTGCTGAAGGCCTCCAGAGCAGTATGCATGCATCAGTAAAACACAGTGGATGTTCCTTGCAGGTCTGTGCCTACATTTCTGCACCTGGGGTTGTGACTTTGGTCAGATTGAATGGTCTCCTCAGTGCTAAAAAGTACAGGTGGATACTTATCCATCATTCAATAGTATCAAGGAGGCATTTGTTCAGTCCCAAATGTATTGCACAGCAGGACATTGACCATGAACATGTGTGCTGGTGTACCTTGGAGAGTTGATAAGCAGAAGAGGGCACACCGAAAATTGCTTCAAGTTAGTTTTTTTTTCTGCTTATGCGCTTTGTAGGTTGTTAGTTGGTAAATAGAAACTATTCCTTGCGCTTTTTTTCACAAGTGCCTGAAACAGTAGTGTGTTTGTACTGTATGTATACAGTATATATACACATTGCTCCCAGTTCATAAAGAGCAATAAACAATTGTTCATCCCTCATTTTGTTTTTTTTTTTTTGCATACCGTTCTGAATATTTTATGAAATGTATTTTCCATGTTTTGCTTATTTCACGCTGGAGCACAGTACAGATCTAAACTCTTGATTAAATGTGTTGAATGATCAGTTGTACCCCATTAGATTACTTTACCCCAATCTTAGCCACACTCACAAACATCTTGACATGGGTTTCTGGATTTTTCTTTGGAATAAACTGAGAAACCACCAAGAGCGTGATGCCATGACACTCTTAAGACCAAGCCAAGAATGTTATGACTCAGGCCTGTGTTGTTCAAGTTTACTATTTAAGATGCTGTCAAGGCAGATAATTTATTATGAAGTTATGCTGAAAGTTAGCTTTTATAATCTTGTATGTATCTGTATATCATAATAGGTTTCTATAAAAAAAAATCTAATATTCTGCTAGTTCAGGTAGGTATTTTGTCAACATAATTCTTTCACAATAATTGTGAAATTATGTATTCCAGCTAAAGAAACCATTTTGTTTTTGCCAACAGCACAATATTCATGTATTTTATTATTTACATTTTATATATGCCGGTGACTTTGTTAACTGATTGCAGATTGATCAACTAAATACCCTTCCTGAGTTTGCTGGCCAACTTGACTTCAAAGAAAGTGACCCTGACTTGGAGGAAGGGGAAGAAGATGAGGATGATGGAGTGTTTGCCTTAACAGACTATCCCCAACATTCCACAAGCGAGCACAGCAGAGACCTCAGCCCCCAGCTACAGACACCTGAACTACTCCAACATCAGAAACAGGTATTGTTTAGTCAAATGGCTGCAGGAAGATGCAAGCCGTAACTCATTTGCAGAAAGGAATTAAATATAAAATATACCGTATATATACTAAGTATGCAAATTTGCATTTCTTTGCATAAATCTATATAAACAGTTTTTCAGAAATCTAAAACTAGAGATACAATCTTACATTTCTTTAGCCGTTGTACTGCCCACAGCTTTTCTGCTTGGTAAAGAGTGAAACAAATAGGAAACTCATCCCTTATAAGATGGGTACAGCCAAGGTTTCAGTGAAAGATGGTTCACCTGAAATGTAATGGAAGAGATGTGCAGTCCTTGTATATAACCCATAGTGCTCTGGGACCCCTTTGGAATACTGCCAGTTTCTTTGGATTTAAGTCACTTTAAGTGTTACTAAACCTACAACAGTAAAATCAGTCTGTATATGCAGTAAAGCATGCTTGTTATATGCACTGTGGAACCTAAGGGGTTAATCCGCCACATCATGTAAAAAGGATGTTTGATCCTGTCTTCTCTGATCCTCCTCTTCTTCTACTGCCCCCTATCCATCTTCTGATAGAACAGTGCCTTGGAGGCAAGCTGCACATGCTCAGTTTGGTTGTATTGCTAGATAGTTTTTTTTATTTCTTGGGAGGGTGCATGTGATCCGCACAGAGCCAATCAGCACAGTTGAGACAGAGGGTCAGTGGTCCTGCCGCCTCATAGGACAATCGGGGGAGAATGAAAACGCCTCCTACAAGCTTTAACCAGTGCTCTGCTGGACACTGATAGAAGTCACAAGTCTGCTGTAACTGCTGATGAGAAAATGTATTTATCAGTTCATATTTACTAAAATAATTGTATTTCAATGTTCTGTGTGCTGTGGGAGACCAGAAATAGTAAATGCAGAATCCTGGGTTTAGTAACACTTTAAGTGCACGTTTCACTATGATACTTTGATATCCAAATTCTCTTTAATTCATATCCACCTACTGAGAGGTCCATCATTACATTACTGCTCCCCAACCACTTGATGTTTTTTTCTTTATAGGTGCAAGATCTGTCAAAGCCATGGTCTGATGGTTTTGTAATTTTTTTCTAAATATAGCTTACACTTGAAAGTGATTGTACATGCTGAATGTTTTTTTACATTTATGCATTCTATGAATGAAGGTAAAAAACCTGTGTGCAACAGCCTCCCCAGCCCCCCTAATACTTACTTGAGGCCTATCCCGATCCAGCCATGTGCACGATAACAGTGTCTTTCCCAAGTCTCTCCCTCTTCATTGGCTGAGACAGCAGCAGGACCCATTGGCTCCCACTACTGTTAAACACAGCCAGTGAGCCAATGAGGAGAGAGTGGGGGCGGGGCCGAGCCATGCTCTGTGGTGAATCAACAGACAGTGCAGGGGAGAGAGCCTGCTCTGATGCCTCCATAGCAAGCTGCTTGCTGTGGGGGCACTCGCAGGAGGGAGGGGCCAGGAGCACCATGGGGGAACACCAGAAGAGGAGGATCGGGGTGCTCTGTGCATAACCATTGCAAAGAGCAAGTAAGTATGACTTGTTTGTTATTTTTTTAAAATTGCCTTTAATATCACTTTAAGCAAAACTCCAGTGTTTTAATGTTATGATTTGAAGATGCATTGACATTATTGTATTTGTGCCCAAGCAAAGTTGTAGGAAATAAATGTCCAAGTGGTTGCAGTTGCCTAGTAACAGAACTTACAACTGTTGCAACTTTCAACAGACCTGCAGTAGCACACTTCGTTCTTCAACAAGACATGATTTGTCCAGACATATTCCTCATCCTTTGCATATAGCAGTGTGAAATGTATATATGTGTCTGCAACCTGCTCTTCCTTTAATGGTAGTGACTGTAATACTCATGGGATACATACTGTATATTAACACACTGCAGCTGAAAAGTGATGACGGAATCGGTGCGATACAAATTTTCCATTAGCCAGAATTGGGTGAATCAAAAATTCACAATTAGCCTGAATTCCCTACATTCATTCACTGGCTAAGTCCTGCCACTTCAACTTCCGCAACCTTTCCATAATCTGCCCCTTTCTGACCAATGACTCCATAAAACAGCTTATTCCCTACTTGGTTAAATCTCGCCTTGATCACTGCAACTCCCTCCTCACTGGCCTACCGTTACACAGGTTATCCCCCCTTCAGTCTATTATGAATGCTGCTGCTAGACTCATTCACCTTACCAACCAATCAGCAACTGCTGCCCCTGTCTGCCAATCCCTTCAATGGCTTCCACTAGCCCAACGTATAACATTCAAAATACTAATCACAACATACAAAGCCATCCACAACACTGCCCCTAGCTACATCACCAACCTCATTTGCAGATATTGTCCAAATCATCCGCTCCGCTCCTCCCAAGACATCTTGCTCTCTAGTTCCCTCCTCACCTCCTCACACTCTCGCCTCCAGGACTTCTTCAGAGCCTCTCCCATCCTCTGGAACTCCCTACCCCAGTATATCCAGTAAGCCCCCACCCTGCCTGCCTTTAGGCGATCTTTGAAAACTTTCTTATTAAGTGAAGCCTACCCCACCTCCACCTAAGAACTATACTTGAGTCACCTCCATCAGATCATCCCCTGCAGCTATCACCTTTTGCACCACCTCCTCCTCCCTTTAGATTGTAAGCTTCATGAGCAGGACTCTCCTATTCCTTCTGTACTGAAATGTATTGTAATTGTTCTGTCCCCCTTTTTATTGTAAAGCGCTGTGCAATCTGTCGGCGCTATATAAATCCTGTATAATAATAATTAGGAATTCTCAGTAGTATTAAAGCTGAACTCCAGAAAAAGTAAAAATGCTCCCTTTCAGTGGTACTGTGCCTGCACTGCAAGGGTTAAATGCTCATTTCTGTCTAGGGGACTTAGAAAGGCAGTTTTACATACTCAATCATCTGTCCCTGCAGATTCCTCTGCACTACAAGACTGGTTCCTGAGGGGGGGGGAGCGAAGATCAAGTACGTAAAAGTGCTATTTACTGTTGCAGGGAGGGGGGACGTTTTACTTTTCTCAAAGTTAAAGTTTAGTGCATTATTCTGCATTATCAGGTGTGCTGGATTGAGACGTGTGTTCTGTGTGCATTACAGACTGGTCGTAGACACGCTATCCTGTGCATGTCTAATGGAATGTCTGCTGCTGTGACCCTGAGTGCAAGGATTTCTCTGCTAAGACATATTAAATTAGCCCTATGCTGGGGTCCTGGCAGTATTATTGCAGAGTACAGTGATTGGTTCATGGATGATTCATTTGCATTGCTTTTTTAAATAAGAGCTTGTGTTCATTTTGTTTTCACAGCCACAACAGACTGAAACATGTTTATTATTTCACTTAGTAATTTAGCAGCTAGCGGAAGTTTTTGTTAAATATAGTTTCTCGCGTGTTTGTTGTTTTGCATTGTGTATCCTGATTATGTTACATTATAATCCAATCAAATAATCCGTTATTAAGCAGATCATGCAGAATCTGATTTATAAACGTTCCAGAAAAACAAGTTAAAATGATTTTACTTAAAAATTACTTAATGAGTCACACATAAAATTTCCTTTCAAAGAGAAGATCCCTCTCTACAAATCACCCCTATTGTTTCTCACATGAACCTGAACTTGATTCTATGTTAAGTATACATACATATTGCTTTCAACAATAAAGCCAAATCCTAATTTGATGTTATGAACCTAGAACCTAGAAAGGAGTATTGGATATGGCATTTTCTATTTTCCAGTTGTTTTGCCTAGAGTCAAGAGAAAATATTGGTTTGCTTCATTTAAAGTGGTTCTAAAGCCTTAAAGTGTTACTTATTATTTATTTCAGGTACTTAAACGAGAAGTATTGGATTTTATTTAAAAAAAAAATCAACTTACTGATGCTACATCTGTCCCCCACTGGCTCTAAATGTGAGTGATCACATGACCGCTGACTGCTGAGTTCTCACAGCCCCTCTGAGCAGTGACCGTCAGTTACCACTGTCTGCTCCACCCTTCTCCGTGCTCACTAGAGCACTGGGCTATAGAGGGGGAGGAAGCGGCTGGCTCAGGCTCTCAGTGGCTCACTGAGAGGCTGAGCCAGGTGCCATTCCAGACTCCAGGATGGATCCCGACTTTAATGTCAGGATCTTTCCCCAGCCTCGACCAGCTAAGGTACATCAGCCAACAGTGGGCTTCAACCCACTGTCAGCAGAAAACGGATCACATACTGCACTCCTGTGTTTGCCCCATGTCCCTCTAACACTATCAATGTGTATGGCACTCTGAAAGGCTGCAAGTACAGTTGTAGTCTCAGCTAGAGTTAGAGTCTCCCTAGGTCCCAGCAGTACAGAGGGCAACATAGAATGGCAATGTAGGAGCGCAGCCTGGGGCAGTATAAAAAGGAAGCTCCAAGAAGGAAATTTATTTAATAAAAAATGTATTGTATTCTAAGTTATATTATTAATATTAGTGATACCAAAGTAAACTTTAATACCACTTGAAACTCCCAACTGGCTGGCTAGGACTGCCACATGAAATTCTATCCCATCTCTAGATCCTTTAACTGAGAAAAACAGAATACTATTAGGCTCTTTTTTAAACAGAACAGAACAGGAGTCTAAAGAAGTAAACAAACTATTTATATTCTGGTAGTTGACACTGTGGTGAGCATTTTCTTTTTGTTGCTCGGCAGGTTGCAGCTTTCTGACATCATCATGTACAATGCAGGACCAGCAGTATGGCAAGGGCCCACCCACAGCAGAGCATTTAAAGCTGAAGATTAGTATTTTTTTTTTATTATTATATACAGCACCATGCACATTAGTTATGTATAATGGTGTATATCCTTTTACCTGCAGAGGCTGCTTCTGCTAAAAATCTGCCCTGTTGTGCCTCCCTCACTGCAGCTGCTGATACAGAGAAAGTTGTGCTGTTTGCCCTTACTGCCCTCTCTGCCATTCACAGAACCTCTCCTATAAATGTCCCACAATACATCACAGTCTGATTGTGTGGGGGAGAT